AAAAATCAACCTTCATCAAGGCTTTGGATGCCATGTTATGCCTAAGTATTTCTACTCAATTGTTGTTGGCATTCATGATAATAATACCACATTACTACTTTTTGGAAGACTAGTAAGGTGCACGTGCCTCGCACGTGAATCATATAATTTGTCTAATTCAATTTGCTTGTCTTTACCATATAATTTGCCTAATTGAATTTGCATGTCTTTAAATTGATTTGACAAAAATATATTATTTATGATATACATTTTAAGTTAAATATAAGTATATATGTGTGTGTGTGAAAAATGGTTAGGATCATACATATATACTAGTGCAGAGCCCGTGCGATGCACGGGCTGCACAATTTTAAAACAATTTATCCAGACTTATAATTATATACATGAATAAAGAAAAATATACGGGATATATGTAGTACATGACCCGCACGAGATATATTTATTTGGGGAATATTATATTATAAGATGTAATATTAAATAAAAGTTTTATAATACGTAGGAAAATTGTACAATAAAATAGTATTGGACAAAGAAACAATCATATATTATTAAATCTACACAAACTATAAATATTAGAATGGCTCAATATTTTGAGATTTATAATTTATAATTAGTAGAGTAGAATCAATATCTGTTAAGATTTTTAAGAAAAAATCTTGATATACGGAAATCACACTATATGTAGAGGAAGAATGGGATGGAGACGGATAAAATATTGTTCAAGTTTTAGATTATATGAGAATTCCATGCAATATGGGACTCTTTCCAATTATTCAGAATTGTAATATTCGAATTCAAAGCAAGATGGATTCTGTACAATTATTTAGCAACTTACTTTCCAATTAATTGATGTATTACATCGCATAAATGCAGACTAAATATTGTGAAGAGTTGCAAGCAAGGGGGATTCTTTCCATTTATTTAACAACTTAATTTGTACACACCAAGAAAATATTGTACAGTTTTTTTTCGATGAATGTTGTGAATCAATTTTAAAAAACAATGTTTTTAATTAATGTCGTATTTTTTTTTTTTTTGAATATCTATATAAATTTATATAAATTGATGTCGTCCAAAAAAGTTTTATTTAATAAAAGTTTTATTTAATTTCATAATTCATTCCTAATATGAATCCAATATGTACTAATTTGTACACGTGAATATCTAAACTTTTAGCGGATTTTGTGTTGAATAAAAAAATCAGATTTAGATGTAAAACAAAAATTCCGATATTTTTGTGGGAAAGTTTAAAAAAAAAAAAAAAACCAATCGGATTTGTTGTTGCACGCCGATTTAATTGTGCAAGCTAGAATTAAGGAAACACTGATATTAAGGAGCCGTTTTTTGTGTTTATTCACGATTGTCCAACTATTACTATAATTAGGATATATTTAATAATTATGGCGGGAAAAACTTTCTAAATTTATAAAAAAGTTATTCTTTTTATATAATGATTAAAACAAATAAACATAATTATCTTGAATTTAAATAATATACAATTGTGCATATGATTTAAAATAATTAAAACAATTAATATATTACACACATATAAATATATAATATTTATATTCATTTGATATTAAATAATTTTATCTTTTATGTATGATATAATAATTATTATTTTTAAAATAATAAAAATATGTGTTAACAATTTTTTAAGTTTTAATATTAATGATATTTAATAAGTTATATAATTGGACTTTAATTTTCAAAATATTGTTACATATCTATATGGGCTCTTGTTTTAAACCATGACCAATAATATTTGAAAGTGGGCTTTCAAACATTCACTTATTCAAACCCGAATTTCCTGCCCATTAGACATTTCCAGCCCATTAGTATTTTTCCGCCCCGAGATCTTGTAAGCTATTTCAGGCCCATTAGTATATTTTGTCGTGAAAACCAGGTCATAGCCAATCGGACGGCTAATAATATGCGGTTGATATCTAACGGTCAAGAATCAATAGAAGCACATATATAAGCCAAACAAACCCGAAAAATTAGGGTTATTCATTTTGTTCGGTGTTTACCTTTCTCTCTCCAGTTCTTACCATTTTCTCTTATCTTTTTCAATGGATTTCATCGTATTGATCTTATTTTATGTTAATTTTTAGCGTTTATGTTGATAGATCTGAGCTATTGTTAGCGATCTTATAACAGATCTGAGCTATTGTTAGCTATCATCTAACAGATCTGATCTATTCGAGCTCCAAATTTTTGATTTATTTTTTCGATTTTGTTTCGAGTTTGAGAGTTATCTAATAGATCTTAATGATCGATTGTTAGTATTATCTCCATTGAATACTACATGCTGCATATGTTTATAAGACGGAATTCGAAATTCAAAAATTTGGGTTTTTTCGATTTTTATTGTCCACAACATTATTTTCTTTAATTTTTTCACCAATCTGAGCGCAAATTTGAATAATGATTTTTGAGAAATTTCCAATGGACAGCGCCGGCGGGATTTTCCACACGGGTTATAGCTATGGCGCTCAATTCGCGCCGGAGAGGAGGCTCTCCGACGCCAAGACCAGCGACCCTTTCGTAATTGAGGACTCTTGGACTTCCCTAGTGACGACGGCGGCGGTCTCGAGGCGGCGGTGGCGGTGGAGAATACTTCGTTATCATCGGTCAACACGGCCGAGGATCTGCCGCTGGGTGGCTTCCACTCCGCCGGTGGTCACTTTTCCGGTGACCTTTCTTTGCCGATTCGCAATTGAATTATTACTATTAATAATTTTGTTTGGACTTGCCTTGGTTAATTCCATTTTACCCCAGCCTGAAGCCTGATTAACGCCGTGTATTGTAGCTCTTATTTTTGCTTTTTGGATAATATTATTCCACATTGGTATTGTTATATAAATCAATCGTCATACTTTTTTTAAATATATATAATTATGCTGTAAATATTTGTTGACTTTTATTGAATTTGGCAAATGTACTATTAAATTAATTACTTAGTTTTTATACCTCTATCTTTTTTTCGAATGCAGGAAATGTGGCCAAAAATAGAGGAAATTAAAGCTGCTTGGGACTCTCTCCAATTATTTACACGTGAATGATGTAATTGATTGCAACAAAATCCTTTAAAAATTAGAATGGATGTGTATTAATCGAATTCCATGCAAAAAGAACTCTTTCGTGGTCTATCTTAACAAATTGGATAATTTTCTCACTTACCATAAATTTTCTATGCGTTTTTAAATTTAACAAATTCAAAAAATTTCTTCACACACGCCTCATTTACTGGAATTTGTGTACGCGTTTTTCAAACTTTTAAAAGAAGATTTGTCGATTAAAATTCTGACGCGCTTTTTAATGAAGGAAAACGGATGGATAAGGGAAACAAATTATATCAAAATAAAGCTGCGATTTTTAATGAGTAAAAAATGGAAGGTTAATGAAATCTGATCAGTATGTTATTGTTGATATCAGAATTAAATACCATGTGACAAAGGACAGATTAACGATTACATAAAGGCCAAACCACGAACCAGGTCTTTGACAATGAAATTTGAAATGATTGGCACCTCGGAAATATCACCTCGGTTCTCAATGACGTCCAAAGACAAACAGTAACTCCCAAAGGTCGTCAGGATAAAACGCTAAAACCTCGAGATTGCCACCTCGGTTAGAGAGCAGCTTATCGGAGGTCATGGAAGACTCAAATTCTATCGAAAAGCCGACGTCGCGAATAACACCGATTTCAACCCGACAGAAGTGACGCTTGTCACACAGGTAGAGGAGTGCCCATGCTCATCATTACCTAAAAAGCTTGCCTACGTCATTGCCGCCCCTAAGCCGTCAAATCCTCATTAAATAAAGCCAATTTATCTTGGGAGTTGTGCCAAGCATAACTATAAATAGCAGCATTAAAGACCATACTAGGATTCGGCTCTAAGACAGAAAAACCACTACATTTATTAACTCGGTGTTCTCTGCTACCGACTTTGTGTACTAAGAAAAACCGACCTTCCGATTCTGTAACCGACTTCAATATCTTCAATAAAAATCATATTTGTTGCAATCTTTACTGTACTTTTTACCTTAATTACGTTGGTTAAATCCGATTATCAACAGTTATCATTAATGTCTGAAAATCTATTTTTAGAAGTCATTAAATGTTGTTGGCGGGAAAACATTGCTAAAAATATTAAATGGTTAATCTTTTAATATAACTAGTACAGAGCCCGTGCAATGCACGGGGTGCACAATTTTAAGGCTATTTATCCAGACTTATAATTATATACACGAATAAAGAAAAATGTACGGGATATATATAGTACGTGACCCGTGTGAAACACGGGATATATTTATTTGGAGAATGTTATATTATAAGATGCAATATTCAATAAAAGTTTATAATACGCAAGAAAATTGTACAATGTTCAATAAAAGTTTTATAATATTCAAGTGGAGTCTTAAAGTCTCTTGTACATTAAGACTACTGACAAAATAATATTTTAATCAATGAGTTTCCTTTCCTTGTAGCCAAATTGTGAATGTGATTTGAGGAATACAACAAATCGATATATAGCTTACTTGCTTTTTTCATTGTAGTTTTTTTTTTCTTTTTTTCATAAAGAATTTAAAGATATTCTAAAATATAGCAAAAATTAATTTTTTTTATTATAATTAGGAATTTTACTAAATATAGACTCTCAATCTATGGTGTTAATCAACGTTTAAGTCTAAAAAATTAGGAATTTTTACCTCTTTTAATCAACGTTTAAGTCTAAAAACAATAGAGTTATTATAAGTTTTTTTCTACATCTTTTAAAACATTACATATGAGCATGTTAGGGCTAGCTTGTAAAATAATTAATATATTATCTCACTAAAACATATATAATAATGAAAATATAATTTTAGCATATAAATTTATCCCTTGAAATATAAGAGAAAGTAACAGTTTTACTTATTGTTGTTCACCATATAATATTTAATTATTATTTTATTATATAATAA